ATATATATATATATATATATATATATATATATATATATATATATATATATTCATCTATATAGTCAGCCAACTGATAGCGTTGAGCAGCATGTGGCTATGACCACCAAAACTACGCGATTACCTCTTAAAGTTACCGCACTAATCACAAGGGAACTACTTGCTGGGGGGGCATTAGTAAACAGTTGGCAACCTATTTCACTTTCAGTGTGACTTTACGCAGCCGTGAGAAGCCAGTCTATTTGTTGTGATAGANGATAGAGTCAGTTCGCCTTGTTTGCTTGAGAAACTTGAAATGTTGTAGTCGGGGAGTAACAGATTGTGTAGATTAGCACCTCGTTGTGCTGAAAACGCATGGTAATGCTTGAACTTTTCATGTAAAGAGAGTTCTAACACTTGGGCGGGCAACGTGGAAAGATTGTGGTGTGACAAGACGTCCTCAGCATCATTCCCGGTAATTTCAGATACCAACTTCGGAGTAATATGATTTTTTTGTTTTTTACAGTTGCTAAAGTGTTAAGTAGTAAAATATACCTTTTGGATTGAACGGTAAATCAGATCATTGCGCGTACCAGCGAGTTAGACTATTCATTTCTACTTGCGGAGACCTTTTCACGTTTCCAATTCGGAGACGCCAGGTGTGACCTCATTTAGAAGGAAGCCAATCTAAATAAAGTCACAATTCTCAGGTCAGACTTAGACTTTTATGAGAAGTTCGCTACCCATCATGTCTGAAAATCTCCACTGATCATCTTTGTCCGCCTTTGTTTTAGCAGTGTTGAGTAGTGCTTTACGGAACTAAACTGACAAAGTGAAACATTTTATCGGCTTTCAAAGAGTGCCTTTACGACGCTTTAAATCGCTACTATATTTATGCAATCCAAATATACTACTCACAAAACTCTTCTTATGACAAAAATGAACTTTGCATAAATCGAGAAATGACGTCCTTTTTCTAGAAGTTGGAAGAATCTGTCTCCGCTTAGGAATGTCTCTTGGTTTATTGCACGGTTTCGGAAGATTTGACCGGGAGTTTGATTCTTGACCTCTCTATGGTGTAAGTCTATTGTCCTCGTACCATTCTTCTGATTTACTTTGATACACACCTGTTTTCACTCACCTTGGCAAATATGTTCATCAAATTCTTCTAGGGCCTTACTTCTATGATCCACTGTCACCGACACGGCCTCCAGTTTGGTGCCTGTACTCTGCGTCCGGCATTTTCATAAGTGCACTTGTTTTCCGTTCCACTGATGTTCTTAACTTGCTCATCAGGTTTTTCTGAGGCTCGGAAAATTTTTCGCTTGTCTATCGTGTTCTCAATGGAGAACGTTTGACTTACTGTGCTGTCAACTTGGGGCTCGTGTTCGTCAACAGTATTCTGAGTCCTAACCTTGGCTTCTACTGACTCAGTTGACTGGAGCTTCACCAGCAAAACTGCAGTACAAAACAAAGATGTCACCTTCTTGTCTTTCATTTCCATATGGATGTGGACTGAACAACAATCAACCGCTACGGAGGAGGCCTTGTACGGGCACAACAATTTCAACGAAATCAGGGGTTTTCTCGAGGCGCTGTGATTCGAGGCAATTTTTCTGCCAGCAATTTGGCTCTATGCCCTCAAAAGTTACCTTCTTGACAGCACTCGTGTTGTATTCTGCTCGAATGGCCGCTACGTCCTCCGTTAGTTCCTTGAGAATTCCCTTAACTCCTGTGGGCTAATGCTTAGGGACTTCGGTTGACTAAACAGGTGGGGCTTTCTTCTAGGTGAACTCCCTCAAGACATCCACCAGTTTGAATACATCCATGGTCTTCTCGGCATTTAGTTATCTGTGCCATTTCCCAAAAGTATTCACGCGAACTCTGCATGAAACGATCAAGCAGTAAATCCAAACACGCGGCGTCGCCCAACGTTGGGAGTGCTCGATACAATAGGGTACGCAGGGCCATGGCATACGACAGGGGATTCACGCCAACTCCGAGTTGCACCATCCTGAAACTCCGTAACGCCACCTGGTGGTCGTTTGGGATATCGAAATTCCAGATCAGGGCGTTGTTTGAGGCGGTGTACCCCATGTTCTCCGGGCCTCTTCGCGCCCGGCTCTTAAGAAGCGCTCGGAGGGCCATCCATTTACCCGGTCCGTCCGTACCCCCGTGAGCTCCGCGACGTCCTCCAACTCCTCGAGGAAAGTCTGGACGTCCTCATCCTCGAAAACTCTGGGCCTTGGAACCTGATCCCAGCGACGGCAAGAAATATTATAGATCCACATGACGGTGCCGAGACGCGGATAGTTATAGATTACGAATAACGATAAGCGTATCTGTACAACAAAATCTCATTCGAAACAAGTGTCCCGAATTCCCACAAGTATACAGGATGAATAATGGGACGGTCAAACGGTGGACTTGCATCTCCCATATTCTCCCCTTTTGAACACCTAAATACGCTCCAAGATACCTTGTTCACTTTGACCATTGAGAGAAATAGCCAATCACGTTCTTTTTGCACAACCCAAACACGCTACTCATAACTTTTATAAGTAGTTGAACTATGAACACAATGTTGGTCATGGAATTATGCTGCAGTGAAGAGTAACGTCGAACTTTGGGGTGTCTGAAACTGGATAATCCGGAAATTCCATCGAGTATCTATTACCTATAGTTGAAACAACTACCTAATCATTCATTAACTTAGAGCGTGCGCTGACAGTAAACGCATTTATACGGCAATGGTCGTAATCGAAATAAAAGCCAACAGTTGCATTATAATTTAAGGAACGTACTTCGTCTGGGATTCTGTTTAAACCGTGGATTAATGAGTACTATTCCCGTATTTAATAGGCCTACTATAGGGTGTGGATAGCAGTTCTGTGAAACCTAATTACTTTGAATTAGTTGGATAGAAACTCCAAATCATTTTATCTCACCTCTACAGCAATACATAACTGTGCTGCATTTTGCCCACCTATCAAATCGGTTTAATTTTTAACAACGTGCCAAAAAGTTGAAAAACTGATTTCCGGTTGTACAGTCCTGTGTGTGTGTGATAATAATAACTTATTCAATTTACTAATTTGGTTTACATCAGAGAAAATGTGGAATCGCGATCACCTGCCTTCCCAATTCGTGAACATTTCTGGGTTCCTGAAAATGGGAAGCACAACATTGAGTGCTCCTAGTCGCGTTTTCACGTCACGGACAGGAAAATGAGCGCTGCGGTTGTTAGCCACGGTGTACCTTCGGATGATATCTACCACTGTTACGATTTTAATCTGGCAACGTTCACATGGTTGTCTACGTGTTGTTGTGTCCCAAGAAATGCCTTTCTTAGTTTCCGCGGAAGTGTGTGAAAACTGAACTTCAGTTCGATAAGTAGACCTATTCAGATAAAAAAAATCGTTATCAAGATGAAGAGAAAAACTCCGTATGGAAAATTACAGCTGTGACTCCAGTGTAGACGTCAAGAGAAAATACGAATTCCTGGAGCATTTACTACTGCAAACAATCATAATGGTTTGTGTCTTCATATCTCTGCAAGCCACAACTAACCAAACACAAGCTTTTCCTAGCACCAACCATACCCCCTACAGTCTGGAACCTATTCTCCTCAGATCCCTCCCTCCGAAAAAGGACTTTCAGTATGAGGTTTCCATGTATTGTAAGATGCTTGAAGAGCGGGTCGCGCGAGACGAACTGAAATTACCACGAAAATTTTCGGATTACCTCTCAGAATGTGTTTTGGTTAATCTGTTAATGATCGTATCTATATATCACTATTTGTTAAAATAATCCCACAGAGCACATTTCAAACAAAACAACAGAGTGGCGAACAAGCTCGTTTTCAGAGATTCGCATTCATGCCAATACATCTCAGTATATATCACTATTTGGGAATAAAATTGTCATGGGAAAATAAAATAAAATAAAAACAGATTACTAAAACCGATTTCATCGTGAGACCGGAAATCGGGTTCACCACGATCACATGTTTGTTTGTCCACTCATCCGACCATCGAGATTACTCACGATGCGGTTTGTATGGGGGGTGGGCCAGGGAAGCTTAAGCGCTTGCACAAATTGTTTTTGGGCACACAGAGGGGGTTTGTGCAGACGAATGCCTACCGCTTCTGCCGTAGCCAACATCCGACAGCGAACCTGCCTCGATAATCGCCCGCGAACTTTGTACAGGGGTCGGAAAGCCTCGCACACGTTCACGGTATGATTTGTTTCAGCTAGGTGTGAAACCACTGCACTGGTTAGTGACTTAATCGTTCCGGTGTTCAACCACGCGGGGTGGTGTTCACGAATCCGTTCGGACAATCGCCTGACCGTGCGGCCTATGTACGTTGTTCCACAGGAACAAGTAAATGAGTATACACAGAATGAGACCGCAGAGTCTGGAACTTTGTCCTTCAGTCGCAAACACACAATTGGCCTGGACGTGAACAGCACACGGAGCTTAGATGCATAGAAAGTCTTATCGATTGCGTCAGATAATCTTCTTTGTATGATCTCGGCTGATGTGTCCCCTTTGAACGGTAAAGAAATGTACACTGATTTTTTCTTAACCTCGGTGTTTTGTAAAGAGTTTTCCGTGCACTGAATCATCTTGTTGACTAAACGCTCCGGATATCCGTTACGTGCAAAAATCGATTTTACAGTACGGAGCTCTTCTTCTAGTGTGTCCTCACTGCAGATCTTTCTTGCCCTATTCGCTAGACAGCGAACCAGGTTTCCTTTTATCTTCACTGGCACAAAGCTTCGGAAATGAATGTATCGGTCTTTCCACGTTGCCTTTCTATGCATGGAACGCTGCACTGAACCTACTGATTGGCGGGTGATGCAGACATCTAGAAACGGTAGTTTGTGGTTGCCGTCCATTTCTAAAGTAAATGTTATGTTGGGATGCGCGTTGTTGAACCTGTTTAATAGTTCCGTTGCATTTGATGTTGCACCGATCACACAATAAATATCATCTACGTACCGTGTGTATAGTACACAGTCTTCGATGGATGATTGTAATTGAGTGTTTTCAAGCTTCGCCATGTATAAATCCGCGAAAAGCGATCCCAGCGGAGACCCCATGGCTACAACATTTTATTCCCAAGTAGTGATATATATTGAGATGTATTGGCATGAATACGAATTTCACTATTTCTTTGGTAAGGGTACCTATACCATCTCGGATTACCATGTTTATCGATCGTTTGAGACGATGATTTCTGCAGCCTAAGTGACAGGCACTCACGCATGACTGCATACCGCCTGGCTCTGATTAATAATTTGACGACCACCCACGTGACTATGAATCAGAAAAATAACTCCACGTATTTGTAAGCTCCTGGGCGTGTGCCCGTGCGCGTTTGAAGCAGAACGCTATGAGCGAGTCTTTGGAAAAAAACAACGCATAACTTCAAACGTTTCGTATAATCACGTGCAAAAATCGCCGAAACAGGTTACGTTCGGATAGACGAATGATTTTTCATAGCCCGCGACTAATGAGCTTCGGTGCACCCACAGGGCTGTCGCATCGTGTGAACGTGAATTGGGGTGACACGTGCAGATGCCAACATAGTAGTACATTTTCTTACCTTTCTACAAACGATCTGATAATGGAAAGTCTAGTCATGCATGTTTGTGTGTGACAAGAACTGTTCACACAATACGTCGGAATAGACTTGAAAGTGAGAGTGGTGCACATACTGAAACGTTGATTAGTTATCAAAATCTGTTGGAGCAAATACATAAAACAGCACGTTTACGCAACTCATAGGGATGATACAAGCGATCAATACTCAAGCACTGCAAAGTGCAATCAATAACGAATTAGTCATCACGAGTGATTCAAAAGTGAGTAGAATGATTGAATAGAAACAGTTTTTTACATATGAAGTTTCAAAATTCTATTCCTCTGGCGAAAAGGAAAAATTGACTTAGACAAAAACACATATCCGTTTTGGATTCCTAACAAAACTTAGTGATTCTGTTATTATTCCCAGATATCATCCTAATCATCCTAATCATCATCATCATCATCATCATCATCATCATCATCATCATCATCATCATCATCATCGCATTAGTCATCATCAAGTTAAGTCAAGTCAAGAAGAGGCTTTAGTTCTCCACATAGGGGATGAACATTCAGCTACTACACAATCACTCTTGTTTGGAAATTACATGGTAACAAAACGTATGATGATACGTTACATATACAAAAAGCCAATTTAGCAAAGATTTTGTCTAAGAGTCCCAGTGACAAGATCAGCGTTGGTGAGAAACCGTGCCAAGTACAGTATTATAGAGGACTTGTATGTGGTGGTGCGTGCTGCTATATGTTTATACATGGAACGAGTGCTAGATGTGGAGATACACTGACT